TTTCCCTCAGTCTCTGGGAATTAAACAAACTCCATAAGGTCTGAAAAGTCCTAAGGTCTATAGCAAAACAGCTCCTTCAATAACTACTGCAGAGGCCAAGACAACCATCTAAGGCAAAAGTCAGGTAATGCTAAGGGAAACCTATCCTACCAAAGCATGGCCATTTATCCCCATGTCAAGCTACAATTCCCAAGTGAAATATTACTTTGTCTTAGCAGTGGGGCAAATGATCCCAAAGGGTTGTGCCTTCCGTGCTACAGTTCTACTCTTTATTAGAAAAGTTCATGGGGTTTTCTTCTCTTGTCCCCCAGCTGATGATGAAAGCATCCAAGTGGGTGTCCACCGACAGTTCCTAACACGCTCCTCATGCAAGTTAAACATGGTCCCTGGCAAAAAGTACCTCCTCATGGGGAAAGATGGGGAAACAGTCGATTGCAACAACAAGTAAGTGCAATGGTTTCTGAACAGCAGCAGCAACTGCTACCACGGACCATAAATCCAGAGGATACTCAGTCTATTAGAATACCTCCAAAAAGCAAAGGAGGAACCAAATTTCTCAGAGACTGATTCTGCTGGATTTACTAAAAAGCAAAGAGCTCCATCCTACAGGCAAAATTAGGAAACATTTTAGGACACTTTTGAAACTAAACTGCCCCTCACTGTGTCTCACTGATGTGCACTGAGGTCTTTTATGCCACTCTGGAAAGCTCTAACAGAAACTTAGCCCAAGTTTACCTGACACACTCAAAATACCAGTACAGCGAGGTTTGTCCCAGCTTAGCACTGACACTTCCCAAACTTTATTCAAAGCTCAGTTAACCTGCTGGTGAAACTAAGTTTCAGGAAAGTTTCTTAGCTAGTATAACTTCTTGTCTCAGAGATGCCTCCATGGAGGCATGCAGCATCTCAGGGATTATGCTTTCCCATTGCTCCATGTCAGGAATAATGACTCATCTTCTTTATCTGTCCCATTTTCACACAGGATGCAGTACTTCCTTGATGCACAAGCCTGGGTAGAGAAAATTCCAAGCACCAGTGAGTGCCGCAGCACCCTGCGTCGGCAAAGCTGTGCTCACTTGCAGGACTTCCTGAACACGTCTGACAGCCTGTGCCTCCTCTGATCCCCACATCCTATCTGTGTGACTGCGGCTTGCCTCCTTCCCGAATTTTTTTTGCAAAGAATGTTCACCCAAGTGGCACCTGAAACATTGCAGGGCTGCTTCCATTGCTGTTTTGCTCTCTGGGGTATTCCTTGTAGATTTGTGTGTGGGAGTAATATAACAAAAAATGCAGTTACTCTGCTAGTTATTGTGTTTATTGTACCTGACACTGGCAAAGAGAGAGTAGGAATTTCTGTCTTCCTGATCCATTATATAACAGCGCAATTATCCAGTGGAGGGTCAAATGAAAAAAACATTTTGCTTGCAGAGCTGATTAATTCCTGCCTCCCAGGGAAAAGAGGTCGAGAAATTTCCATGGGTCAGAAAGATGACTGGACATACCAGGGCTTACCAAGTACAGCCTGTGTTACACTGCTGCTGAAACAGCAGTGCTTCTCACTCATGCTTCAACACATCACCTAGTTTCTGGGTTTAATTGTGAGTCCTGATATAGTGGAACAAATGACCCCACTTGTACCACAGCAGGACTCCCATACACGCATCTGAAGCTGGAAGAGGAGCTAGCCAACTTAGGGACAGGTAACTGGACTAGATAACATATCCTATGCCTGACTTGGGAGACCTGCACAAGTTAGTTAGGGCTGGCAGCTCACTGAGGGCATGGAATTGCTTTTGATTGTGGGCACGTCTTTCAAGTTTGGTTTGGTTTGTTGTGGTTTTTTTTTTTTTGGTTTGGGTTTGTTGTTTTTTTTTTAATTTAATTAATTTGCATTATTTAAAAAAAACACAGAACAACTGACACAACCTGTGGTTACATTCTCCTAAAACCTTGCTGTTTCTGGGGCTCTGAATATAGCTCTGTAGTGGAGATGCAACATTTGAAAGGGAAAGGTGGGGGTTTCACTGCTGCAGTTAAGAAAAGCTGTATATGTATACTTTGTATCACTTTTGTGGCTTCCACAAATATCAAACTC